AGATAGCAGAGATGGGCTAAATTGAGACAGTCTATTTTGGTAGGAGGAGAGTGAGGGGATGGAAAGAAAACAGCAGTGGATGGAGGGTAGGGTAGGGGTGGGGGGTGAGTAAGAGAGAGGGGAATGACAGAAACATAAGACAGGGGTGAGGAGGAGAGAATAGCCTTAAACTTGTTTCCTTTGTGAAGAGACAGCGGCCTCCTGTAAATAGTGCATGCTTGTTTCCCAAGGAAGTTCCAGTATATACACACGTCCTTTTCTGAGGCAGTGAGCTGTGGACGACTACACCAAACCTCTCCATGTGGGCTGCAGCAACGGCAGCCATTGTCATTCAGCCTCGTTAATCAATTGCGGAGGCTGTTAGAATGCAAGGGGTCTCGCTATTATGGAGCACTGGAGCTCTCTCTCTCACACACACACACTCACACATTCATACATACAAACGCGTGTGTGAATGCACTTGCACACTGCTCTGGGGCGGGATGGTTTCTGTGCCACTGGTCAAACTGAATGAAACAAATTCTTATAAACCAACACAGTGGGACCAGTCAGCCATAATGGGAGAAGGTTTAACAAAACACAACTCTGAAAAGATCCACAGGATACAAAATTGTGTCTTTTCACTTCCTCGCTGTGGGAATGGCAGGTGTGTATGAGGACTTGACTCAACTAGCACAGCTCCTCTGCTCTGTCAAACCCAGATTCTCTGTTTGCTCAGAGACGATCAGGCTGTGTTGTCTGCTCTCCCCCTCGCTCTCTCTCCTCTCATGTTTGCTCCTGTTTTCTCACATCGACTGAGACGAAAGAGATTAGCCGAGGGAGATGAAACGACTACGGCTCTGCCAGCCACCATGCAAGCCCTCTCAGTTCCGGGACTTCCTCTCAAGTCTTTCTCCTCACTGCCATCAGTTCATTCCTCACTCTCTTTAATCACACTCTACTCCTCTGCACAGTCCCTCAGCTAAAGGGTTGCGCTTTTAAATTAAAGACAAGTCCCTTGCTTTTGTGAAAAGAGTTGAGGAGAAAGTCAGCAAGGCCAGTCAATATTCAGTTACACAAAGCTAATTACATTTGACTTGGCAACCGACCCTAAACGCACACGCACGCCCCCTGAAATGCTCATGTGTTTGCATTCAGTCAGTGTAGGCACAGTGTGAGAGGGTTCACCGAAAAAAGAAGCAGTTGGCACGAAAATACAATCTTTACTTCCCCATGTGTTTGAAACCAGGGACCACACACACACACACACACACACACACAATGTGCACTGGCAATTCCATAGGACATTGACTGTTTTTTAAAAGGAGACTATTTAACTAATGAAAGAAGAAAAAACTCAAGCTCCCCCTTATAAATAAAAACTTTAAATCATTAGCAGTAAAACACATGCTCGGCTCACTAACTTTCAATGCACAGAGGTTTTACTGCTACAGCCTCACTCTGTCTGGTGTGACCGGTAGCCTATGATGCCTTTGTTAGCTAGCTTCAGTTAGAAAACTTTAGATATATTTTGTTGCTGTGTAGCTAGCATTACTGAGACAGTTTGCTGAGATGAAGATTTTAATGTTGTTGTTTTTTTTACCATAATGTTACGTGTTGGACTTTTTTGGCCGAGTGCAGTCCACTTACTGGAGTATTGTCATCACAGTTAGGTTGCCAGGCAACCTGTAGAGATGGGTCAAAAATGTAGATTTTTCCACATCTGTTTTTGTTCAGTCTTTATGCTAAGCTAAGCTAACCATCTCCTGGCTGTAGCTTCATATTAAAGGAATGCTTCACCTGCAAAATGACTATTTGTACTTTATCCACCACGTGTTACCTTGAATTCATAAGGATAACTGTTCTTCTCACATGCCTCAATGATGAACGGAAAATCCAAAAAATGGAAACATTCTTAATGAATTTTAAACCCAGTTTCAGACCAATGATTAACGACGAGATGAAGATGCAGCGGTGTGAACTGGTTGGTCTGAGCTCGACTCAAGCCGGCTGATCGTGTCACCAGCAACTCAGCTGGTCAAATGGACGGGGGGAAGGTTTTAGTATGTAAAGAACATCACCTGTTTCTACAGCCAGTCTGCTTGTAGTGAAGTCTGCTGGTCAAGTATAAACGACCGCCGATGGCGTGTTTGCTTGCTGCAGCAGGTGCTCTGTTTCTGTCCTCATGGTGTGTCAGTGTCAGACTGGGGGTGTGGGGGTGGGTCACTGCTGCTCGCTGTAAGTGTTTATTGCCCTCCACACGCATTCTCATTCACTGATAACTTGGCGTTATATTATTGTGGTGTATCTATTAGGAATACAGTCCATCTGATGCTTATTTTATGTTTTTTGCCATAGCCAGTATCTCACTATCACTATTCCTCATTCATATTTTAAGATGCTACAAATTACATTCAGCCACAAAATAAGGCTGAAAAGCTGGAAATCAGAACGGAGGCACAGAGAGTTGTTGCATAGAGATGATACACCATCCCATCTAGTTGCATTGGTGTAAACCGCCGGGTTTTTAGAACATCTCAGAACGGCGCATTGCGAGCAGTTGTCTGTTTCAACTCGTCTTGTTGCGAATCTTTGGTCTGAACTGGGCTTATGATTTAAAACCTGTCAGTACAAAAGTCTCATGAACGGCCGAGGAGCATGCCTGGGCACACCTCAGCGCAGCTCATACACACACGCATGCTCAGGCATACATTGTATCGTTGAAGCTAAAATGCATGTGTAGAACTGAGCGTTTGATTGGATAAATAACACTTGGCACAAACTGTGTGAGAGTTTGTAAATGGTGTTTTGCTGTTGTTAAACGCTGACCCCCACGACTTCAGTTCATGAAGAATGTTTGCCTTTTTTGGATTCTTCGTTCAGAATGGAGGAATGCAAGAAAAGTTCCCTTCATTTTCAGATGAACCATTGTTTCTAACATTTACAGAGAGGTATCAATCTACTCATCTAATTCTCAGCAAGAACACAAATAGGCATATTTCCTAAAATGATAAACTATCCCTTTGAACAAAGTACATCCCTTTTGACCCTCAGGCCACCAGAACACCATATTGATGTTAATTAGAGCAACTGACTCAAAAGAAATCTTGCAAAATTAAGGGGATTTTATTTTCCCATTATCTTGCAATGACCACTTGTGGCCACAGTGGCCACTGTTCAGTGAAAGTCATATAGTCTTGCTTTTAAGCTTCAACTACAGAGATGTCATGACATGAGTAAAATCTAAGCTGAAGTCATCCAGTGGTCAGTGTACTAATACAAGTCTAAAATAGTTACATCTCTGTAGTCACTGTCAGCTGCGATCGCATTAAACACACGACACATTAATAAATGAGAGCTTGTTTCTTTATTGACCGGTCTTTCCCATCAGGTAGACTCTGCTGTTTTCATTAGTCACACAGCAGCTTCATTCATTAGTCATTCAGAAACAAAGATATTCTATACAAAAGGCTGAGAGTTACGACCTAAATACACTAACTCATTCATTATTGATTCAAGGCTTTCTATGGACCACAAGGGAACGTAATATACACAAACCCAACACGTATGCATCCACACACTCGGACATAAATAAGCACTAATGATGCACTGTGTATGTGTGCGCGTGTCTTTAAATAGTAACATCACAGAAGTATATGCTGAAAGAGTTCTGCATTTGACACAAAAACTAGGTTATGTATTTCTTTTCAGAGAGAACATCTTTTTCTTGTAGCAATCAAAAGCATCTTCCCCGCCTGCCTGTACCTGCATGGCTGCTGTGTTACGTTCTGCCTCAGCCTGCGGTGTATCACCCAGATGATCATGTTTACTTTACAACCTTATTGATTTGTCAGTTTGGGAATCGCAGGAAGTAACAGGCACTATCTGCAGACTCAGCCCATTCACACAGACACACAGACTCATAAACAGTCTGGCTCTGTCTCTGTTCCATAGACCTACTTTTGTAGATGGGTTTAGTTTGCCTAAAATATCTCTTTTTAACAGCGGGCTTCCTCTGATTTTACACACACACACACACACACACACACACACAGTTTCACACTTGAAGCAGCACAGCAGCCACCTACAAACCCAATCTTTTCCGCTAGAGGGGCCAAAACAAAGTATTGGAAATGAACATGGGAGGATTCCACCAAAATAAGTTTAAATGTTATGCCTAAAACTCATGCATTTTTCAGAGGATAAATGCACATTAGGGCTTTTTGGTAGCTCAAAAAAAAGAAAAAAAAAAAGAAATCACACCTTTACTTCCTGCATATTCACTCAGCTACAGCTAAGAGCCTTGTCATGTCTGAACCAAGTGAGTACAGTGAGTCAGACTTAAATTACAGAACCACCCCTGCTCTCTGATAGAGCTCTGTGCTAACGGCTTGGAGAAAAATGCCGGCCCACTGGGACAATTAGAGGGAAAAAATGACTACAAGATCCCCACAGTGACACCACTGATAGCTTTGTAGAAAAAAAAGCCTCTATATGATATGATAGTGTGAATGAAAGAGGTGACAGAGAGAAAAAATAACCTTCTAAGTGCAAAAAAATGTGAAGCTCAACATAATGCAATGATATCAAGCCACAGTCTGACTTAAAGCAAAGGCAGTGATAACATGCCCACACACACTGTGTCCTTGAACTTTCACAAACGTATCTAGAAAGGGCAACGCACTATTCAGCACAAGAAGTCATTCCAGCTCTCTCTTATTGCTTTTCCTTTCTGCAGAGTTCATCCCCACATTGCTTTCAGGAGTCGTGATCTGTCGTCCGGCCAGTGCGTGCGTCACTACACTCTCAGTACAAATCTCATCTGACAGATGCACACTCTTTATACTGAGTGTGTTACTGCGTTATTGTAAAGATAGTTTCTGTCCTCCATTATGGAGCAATCACTACAGGACTGATGATGAATGTGTGTGTGTGTATGTGAGTGTGTGTGCGTGTATGTGTGTGCACGCATGTGTGTGCTTTTGCTCTTAAAGACACATGACATGATGTTTTCATCTTACCCTGATTCTCCTCATGGCTGCCACGATCTCCATCCGACTGTTAGGCCTGGGCACGTCCAGACTCCCCACATACTGTAAAGAAGAGCATGAAAGTCAATGATGTTATCTCACATACTACAGCTGCACGGTTAACTCCAACAGCTCCCAAAGTGGAATCCAGAGCAGCAAAATTAGTTATCATTTATAAGATTATTTTTTTTTAGTTTGTTAAAGGCAAAAACTGCCTACACACAGTCTACAACGTAGACCTAGTGCTACTCTGTTTAAGACAAAATGTGTTTAATGTGCCATACAAAGGACTGTCTCTGTCTTCTTAACAAGCTCTTTGTGTCTTTCCTATATTCAAATTTGTGGCTGTGTAATTAATCAAGCTGCTCTGGGGACCATGTTGTTTTTGTTGTTATTATTTTGACTATTGTAAATAGTTGGAAGGCGTAAAATGAGTGAGTAATGTGAACATCAATCCACTGTTAACTTCGTAAAGGAGAAGGATTTTTGTTCATCTGTATTTTTTATTTAACTATTGTTATTTACATGTATTCATTCAGAAGATGGATGTGTTTAGTGTGTGTTCTTGATGCCATTTGCCATCAGATTTAAAGCACTGAGAACTGTCATGGATGCATTATGTGACTGTTTTGAAACACTCAGTGAGATAAAGAAATATTAAGAAAGAAGGACAGACTAACTGAGCGAAGAATGCTACTTGAAAAGGGACTGGTCGTTATTTATGAGAGGGCAGGGGGTGGTGCAAAAAGAGGGAGGCATGTCAAATATTTTTCAAGCACTTGGGAGGGACTTATATCTTTTATTTTGGCTAAGGGTGGGGGCATACAACTTTAAATGGCTGTATTTTGTATTCATTTTACTGCCATTTTTAAAGACAACATGTCTTCCAAAGGTATGTTTTCTTAAAGAATCTCAAAAAGTACACTATTTAGCATAAATTGTCGTTGGATTTTCAAATTTCTGATGGTCCTTCCTTGGACACATTATGTGTGAAGAACGTTTCCATCAGAAATCAAATCCAAATCTTAGTTTAAAATTATGGTATTTCATCAAAATCACTTGAGTCTAAATCTCATTTAAGTTTTGGCCAAAAATAAACCGTTTGCACAAACGAACCAGCATGCACCACAAGAGTGGGAAACCAGGCTTTTTTCACTTCCAGGATTTCATCTTCAACTTTAAACTTTCAAACATCAAAGCCTAATTTCTTAAAAAGATCTAATAACTTATTTATGGTGAAGGGAGAGTCATGCATTTTCCAAATGTGTAGCTTCAGGGAAGGTCAAAATGTAAAAAACAAACAAAAAACCAAGGTCACATCCCAGCCACTTCCCTCCTCTGATAAGTAAAGAACAGTCCCTAAGCAGTCTTAATATTACAAAAGATAAAAAACAGCCATGTGATTTAACTTTGGACCAGCAACACATCCATGTTTTAACCCTTTCTTTCACTGCGTTCTGTTTCCTGCCCTGCAGATCAGCTCAGACAGCCAAAAATAAAGTTAGGGATTGGTGTGTGTCTATGTGTGTGAGACCACTAAAAACTGTCAAGCTGCTTCCCTAAGAGGTTAATAATTTAATGACTTGGGAAAACCTGAAAATACACTCAGTTCAATTCACTTCCGAGCACCAAAAATAAGAACATCTACCTCAGTGTTTAAGGATTACACACATGCTACTGTTTCCCACCAGACATGCAGCATTGAATCACATGTGTGTGCAGAGTGCACTGCCATGCGTTCAAACTTCATGGTGGACCCTCACTGAAAGGGTCCAGTACACCTGCCACTCCGCTCCAACACAATAACTGTGACCTGACTGTGTGGTTAAACGGTGTCAAATTAACTATGATCATTTCACCTTGGCTTGGAAAGAAATCCCATGCTGGTACGCCTCCTCATTGTGCAGCGGCACCCTCGAGTCCGCCACATCGTCCACCAGGTTGTACCTGTTCCTCGCGGGCATCACGGGCTCCGACCGCCGACACACTAAACACTGTTTAACAACTAAACAGACAGATGTCGCCTTTGTTTGACACGCTACAGTCCCATGTGTGTGTGCTCGGCGCCAGGAGAGAGTTCCCAGTGGAGAAGCAGTCCATTGTTGTTGCTTTGAGCTCCAAAAAGGTCCCGTTCTCAAGAGGGACAGATTTGGGCGCCCCTTTCCCTGTGACAATACACCGAGACACACTTAAGGATTTCCTCCCATATATCCAACGCTTCTCCTAAATAACCAAAGCACAGCAACGTGGAGGGTGTCTGTTTCCAAAGCCACGGGGGGAATCCAGTGTAACAAGCGGTGTTTTCTCTCCGCAGGTGATGTTGCTCGCTGTGTGTGTTTTTTTTAATCCCGTCCTGTTGGTGGCAACGCTGCACCCGTCTCTCTCTCCCTGCCTCCACAACAAAGCACAAAGCGAGTCCCTCATTGGAGCAAAGTTCCCAGGCATGATGCAACCCGGAGCTGAGAGACAGGCAGCACACAAATTGGTTAGTCCTCCCCTCAGGAGATTAACATTTGATTCACTTATTCCTTGGAACCTGACGTGGATTTACTGTGTGTGTGTGGGGGGGGGGGGGGGGGGGGGGGGGGGGGGGGGGGGGGGGGGGGGGGGGGGGGGGGGGCTTTCTGCAGAAAAATTCAAAGGATTTCAACATTTCAGTGTCTCATACTTTAAAATATCTTCAGTGGGACATTTACTCAAACACAGTGGTGGAATGTGACCAAGTGGGCTTCATCATATAGCTACAGTTTAGAGGTAGGCAGGGCCGTAGTCACCTTTTACAATTAAGGGGGACCATTTTCAGGTGGAAATTGCCCCCAAGAGAATTTTTTGGAAACTTAATAGCAAAACTAACCATTTTAGAGCATCTTGGAAAAAAAAAAAAAACCTGATATCAGGCCTTCTCAAAGTTTTGATAAATGAGTGCCATTTTAGGGAGTTGGGGTGGGCAATGTGGCCCTTAAATAATATTGTATTTCAGGGTGTTTTTGCGATAACGATATTATTGATGATATCACAAATCAGTAAAAAAAAAAAAAAGTATTATAAATGTAAGAAAATAGAATTGCAAACTAAGTGATAGTTTTGCCCTCAAATAAAAAACGAAACAAAAATGATCCCTCATTTCTTTAGTTTGTAAACAACAACAGTAACTCAGAGTGAGATTCAGATTCTGTATACAATATTAATGGTTCAGCTAAATAAAATTTACCACAAATTACACATTTAAACAGCTCCCAAATGCAAAAAAGTAAAAAAACAAAAAAAACAAAAGTACCCTGGGATCTATATGTATAAATCAACAGGCGATTTCCTTCTCTTTTAGTAAAAATCCTAAATAATTGAGTCGTTATTTTTTCCGCCTGGACATTTATGCTCTCCCATTCCTCTTCTCATCATTATGCTGTAACCTGTGACAGGCTGTTGTGCTGCAATAACTTTTGCACATTCACATGTATGTAGTTTTTTGTCGAGCCGCAGGTAGGTTTACATTAACAAAGGTTTATGACAAAATCACTTTACAACACTGATTCCACTTGTGCACACGGCAAGAGAGGAGAGGGAGAGAAGCTGTGCTGCTGCCAGAGGAGCCGCTGAATGAGTTCCCTCCGCAGGGACGGTAACTCACAGTTACTCGTTAAAAGAATCTGAGAAATCCGGGGCTGTTCTTAAAACATTCAGGACGCCACAGTTTATCCCACTCCTCTGAAGCTGCTCCTCTTCTTGGCACCACCATGCAGTCTGTAATAATTTCGCTTTCAGCCATGCGTTTTGTTGCCGTTGGTAACAGTATGACGTCAATACGTCAACAAGCTGAAATATCCCAATATGAATGTTTCATGTGATATTAAAAACTATACCAGTATTATCATGAACAAGATGATATGGGAAGCTGGACAGGAATGGTGCACTACTGTACGTATGACTTTTTTAAAATCACATTTTATGACCTCTTTATAACATACTAACATGAAATTGCCTCCACACTGAGAAACCATAACATTAAAATGCAGGATAATATAATATTTTGTAATAATATAACCCTTTGAAAGGAGCCATTCTGCATAACAAACACTTACTTTTGATACTTTAAGAAGATCTGATGCATTGTTATAGATTTAGCTACCCCAAGGTAGGCCTACATAAAGCAGTTCAAATGAACTCCATGTTGGCCAAACACAACATCAAACTTTACCGCTTACATGTTAAAGCATCAATGATAATTTGATGCTTTAAGCACCTGTTGTCAATACATGTGTATTTTTTTTAAACTTTTTCTAGTAGTTGAGTATTTATACACTGCAGCATTACTACTTCTGAGTAAGTTATTGTGATCTAGTACTTTTTCCTTCATTATCTCAAAGATATGATATTTAGTCAGGTCATATGGCATTCCCTGTATTAAACAACTTATTTTTCCTTTCCAGATCTAGGCTAAAAATTTTTCTTATTGCATCATGCATTGATTCTACTGCAGGCCATGAGCCTCGGGCTATTTTTCTTAATATAAAAGTCATCTTTCAAGTTGTATTTTGCTCTCCATAACTGCGTTACAGAATCAGCATGCTGCTGATCAGATGGCTAAGATTCACCACACAGACCTCATTTGGTTGTTTTCATTGTCCTTGGAGTTTCCCCCCACAGGAGCCCAATGAGCCTATTAGCAGATAAAAAGAGTTTCAGTCACTAAACAGCCTTTGTTACCTGCATGACAAATTGTTTTGGTGACCGCAAAATGACATCTCAATTTAGACAATAAATGGCTGTTTGCCATAAAGTAGAAATGATGGAGTGTTGATTCTCATAAAGCTTCCACCTCTTACCATGTTGTTGTCACAGTACTGCCATGCATGAGCAGGCCAATAATAACCCCACAAGTAGAGCACCACAGTTTCAATTCCCATTAAAAGACTAGTGGCAGTAGATGAAAAAAATTATATAATTAAATACTATTGGTTAAACACTTAATTAAAACTAAGACACATTACTGAAATGATGCAATGGCGCCCTCTGTTGATTCCTCACCATGACTAACAGTATCAGCTAAATGCCTTTTTACATGTTTTCAGATAGGTTTTAGGATTAATAGTGCATAATAAAGAAACGTCTCTGTTTTTAGTGGGTAACTTTACAGTTCAGATGCAGCAAATAGACTTACGTGGGTGAATTCTTGCAAATCAAATGAATTAAGATCAGTTTATATGAGAAAGAGGCAATTAAATCCCCACAGTCTGCACTCAGTGGCAAGATATTAACATTGAAAAATAGTATGGGTGAGAGAAGACGCCTCACAAGGGAGGGATAAATCTGACATAATGCAGTTTGAATTAAATCCCAAGAGGTAATGACCATTATCTTGATGATGTAATCACTTGAAATAACCTTTAACCTCAAGACATCCTATCCTCATGTCATGGCTGGTCTCACAGATAGACATTGGTTCAGCAGTGCTTACTGTGGTGTATGCAGTCTATTTGACTTGCGTGTAATGTAACATTACAACTAACAAACTAAAGCAATCCACATGAAAGAATATAAGTGAGTTGAGTGCCTCACAAACGGTGTGGTTTATTTACATGTTCATGTGGAAAAGGACATGTAGGAGGAAATTGTTTCTTAACTTGCATGTCTTTTTTATGCCACACTGTACCATCAGGAAAAATTGTTGAAAAGAAAAAGTCAAGTTAGATTGATTTCTAACTTTTTATCCCTAAAAGAATCAAGAAAAATATATTTATATTTTCATTAAAAAGAACAAACCCCCTTTTAACATCTAAATACTCTAAACAACCAGTCACAAAACAAAAGGGTGCAATACAACATATAAATAAAAATAGGAAAAATGGTGACTCTAGGGTAACCTGGATTTGTGTGAAGAACCTGACATCATCGTCATGAGGAATTTTCCAGCACTCACAACCTGAAATCCTCTTTCAGATGTTCTTTGATCATAAATAAAAGAAAAAAATTAAAGAGAATTCTTGACACCCAGAGGTATAAACCTCTGAGAAGACTGTGAAGGTACTCAGACTTGTGAAATTTTACACTTACTTTAAAGAATTTGGCATTTCTGTTTGACTTGTGGTGTGTTCCAAAATGATATCTACTGTTACTAAATATATATACTGTCACTTCTATGAGTGGTTGACAGATCTGCTGTAAATAAATAAGCAATTTTTAAATACATCTACAACAGTAAATATTTACCTGTACGCACACACCAGGTATCACAGGTATTATAACTCATATCTATCCTATGCACTTTAATTTCAAGTATTTTCTTTTGTTCAGAAATGCACAGCTCCACAGAAGCCGGTACATGCTGAAAAAGAAAGATTTCAGATTCATCTCATAGACAAAAGAAGCCAAAGTACCCTCCCAAAAAAGTATACTAAAAGATTTGATGAATTCAAATGGTATGTGTCCTCTAAACAAACACAAATACATGAAAGGCTTTATTTGAATCCTCAAGGTCTCTTGGCTCCAATAGCAATCCAGTTACAATGATCACAGGTCTGGTTTCAAGGGCCATTCATGTCACAAACAGTGTTCCATGTACAGAGGAAGGACAAAACATTGAAAGCATCTCATTAAGAAGGACTACCTCTGGAGGAGCTTAATCACAAACATTGTGGGTCACATAGGTTGAATGCCAAATAGTAGTATTTATAAGCTATAATAGAGATTCAACAATCAACGCTTTAACATGCAAGTTTTCAGAGCAACCCACAAAGAAGACAACTAACAGATATCCAAAGGGACCAAATTAGTGCTCAAATTACAGGTGGTTTGTTGGTGGTTTGTTAGTGCAACAGTAATAGATTCAGAATTTTACAATGTGAGTGAAGGAAAAGAGGTATTATATTACTATTATTATTATTCTTTCTTTCTTTTTTAATTTAACTTTTTTGTTATTTACATTTTTAACCAGGTAATTAAACTTCTTGTGGGGAAATAACCCATATCATACACACATTACTATTCAAAGCAAAGAGTATTTTTAAATATATTAATACATGTCTTGAGGGGATCATTACAGGACCAGTGTGTGACATTGAAAGAGCTACATAACAGGGTGGTCCTTTTCCACAGAGTCCACCATGTTCTTTGACAGTAGCTCAGAACTGACAAACCAAACGCTGGCTCTAGATAGGGCCAATTGTGTTTTTGCATTTTCTTATCACCGTAGTTCTCTTACAGGCTTGGCACATGGGGTAAGTTTCAGTTGGTTGCAATCTGAAGCCTCACCACTAGATGCCACTAAACCCTACACACTAGTCCATAGCAACCTGCGGCTTTGCGTAATATGTCTACAGCCTGGCGCCTTCTCCTCTAGAGTCTGACAAACCTTAATAGCTGTACTGACAGCTAGTATAGAGTCCTCTTTGCCAGACAGGCAATAGATTCCAAATCTAAAAAAGGAACGGTCTCTGAGGAAAATACTGAATTTATTAGTGCGTAGACAGATTTCTTTTTTCTACTGCCAAAGCTGCAAAGTTGGAGTACCAAATAATTAAAAAATAATTAAACATATAATCCCCTGAAACCCGAGAAAATTGGCTTGATTAAGGTACAAGAAAATTACTTGAAAATTAACAAGAAAAGTTTAAAAAAAAAAGTACACAAGGAAAGACCTGACAAAAGTGCTAACAAAATAATTATTTAAAATCATTTTCCAATAATTTCCCCACTCTCGTTTTAAAAACTAATTTTCGAAGTCGTTGATTCATCATCTTTTACCAGTTTCTTGCTCTTTGCCTTTTGTTCACATTTTTGAAAGAAATCAAAGGGATTTGCTCAGGTTTCAAAGGTTCAAATGCTTGTAAAAGGGTGTCTTATGGAGCACAGGAAAACTGATGTTGATCCAGGCTTCAAAAGGCTCATTTAGACCTTAGTCTAATTAGCAATGTTGATAGGCTAATTTAGACTTAATAGGCTGTGTTACCTTCATTATTCGACCCAAATATGTTCTGTGGCTCCTCCTTTGTTTTGTCTTGTTTTGTTTTGTTTCTCTGTATAGAAAGGTTTCTTTTGATAGCAAAGGTTGCAGACCCATGCAGTAGTCAGTGGGGATGTGTTGCATTAGTAGCTTTCCGTTTTCCTTGAAGATATTGTTTCTTTTACCATTTCTTATTTGAATGCGTACATTAATAGGCCTACCACTATTTGAGTCACATCACACTCAAGAATCACCGTGGTCACAAGAGAGACAGGCTTTGTCTTTGATGACATTATGCGTCCTCTGTTCTTGTCTGACAGAAGACAAAACTCAAATGTTATTAATATAAATCCACTGTGGCTCGGCTTTTGGAAATGCCAACCTGTGGTTGGGGCCATCAATTTGAGGGGTTCAATGACATCTACTTTTATTCTTGTAAAAATATTGCATTCACTTGCTCTCCTTCAGATTCTGCCACAGAGCATGGAGATGGTGGGAAATTCAGGTGTTCCGGGGTGCTTCACCAGATTGAAGTGTAACAGCTTTACTTACTTATCTGTATTTAAGCAATGAAATTATGCTAACTTCATCTATTACATTTTCATAAATAACAGAAACTTGAATATACTGTATAAATTAGCTAAACTTTTCATTTGAGAACAATGGCCTACAACCGTGCTTTGACATTTTATTGGTACTGCAGTACTTCAAGCTAACGCTTCTGTCACAGGTAGTACTGGTAAAATATTTTGTTTGTTTTTAGGGTGTAGGGCAGGGATACTCAATCTTAGCCAGAGGCCATTAAACAAACATTAATAACAATGAATCGCCTGGACCTCTGTTGGGGGTGCAGGGGGGCCTCCCCTGCATATTTAAGTTACATTTTGGCAACTTATTTACATTCAAAATACCAAAAATATGAATAAAAAAATTCAAGTGTGAATCATTTTATTTTTGTTGTGAATTAGAAAATGTTCAGCTGGCCACCTGGCACCCCATCACGGACCACATTTGGCCCATGGGCTGTAAGTTGAGTATCACTGGCGTAGGGGATTTAGCCTAGTTAATGCAGAGGCTTATGGTGCTACGAGCTACTAACAGGCCACAACATAAACTTGGCCCATTGGTTACCACTCAATAAAAAAAATAGAATTATAATTCTAATCAGTTCATCTATGACTCAAAGTGGACATTTGTGCCAAATTAAAAGAATTTTCTTTAGGGTATTCTTGAGATTTTGTGTTCACGAGAATGAGACTGATGCCAGGTGACAGTGACCTTGGCTTTTGCCCTCCAAAATCTAATCACATCATTGTTGAGTCCAAGTGGATATTTGAGTCACATTTGAAGACATTTTCTCCAGGGGGTTATTGGCATATCCCATCTACAGGAAAAAGATGGATGCAAGGTCACAGTGACCTTGACCTTTGACCACCAAAATATAATCACTTCATCAGAGTCCAAGTCAATGTTTGTGCCAAATTTAAAAAAAAAATCCCTGAAGCTGTTCTAGAGAAATTGTGCTCACAAGAATGAGACAGATGAGGTCACAGTAACCTTTACCTCTAACCTCCAAAATCTAATCAATTTATCGTCGTGTCCGAGCGGCTGTTGTGCCAAATTTGACGAAATTCTCTCTAGATGTACTTGAGATATCCCAAAAGCATAACGCCTCTGGCTACAGCTATTGCTGCCACATATAAAAATAAAACCAAGACAACAAATTAGGAAGCCAACACCATCATAGTAGCAAGTTTGTTTAATTCACAGGATCAGGATTCAGAGCACAACACACATTATACACATATCCCTTACAGCAAAAATATGCACTCAACACCTGCTGATGGAAAGTCAATCAATTCACAGCAGTCCTGGATACATAAAATAAAACTGGATGGACAGATGGATAGATGTGGGGAAGGAAAGCAGGGTTTTTTGTTTTTACATCTTGTTAAAGCTGTAGTGTAAGAGTGTGTAGTGTCCGACTGTAGCATACTGCTGGTGTGCATGTAGTGTTTCATCACTTGTGAACGCTGGTTGTGCACGTTTTCAGTGCTACACAAATGCTTTTCTGTCAGTTCAAATGATATTACATTTCATAGTCATGCTTATGCTAGTTACCATACATCTATGATCTATGCATAAACTACTTATTTTACGCTGTGCATTGTTGAGTATGATACCTGAGAGCTGGTGGTAATGTGTGAATAATCCACTCAGTCACTGACCAGCCAGTAATAGACTAAGGATGGAAACAGCTGTAAGAGGTACGTGTAAACAGTTATTCCCAAAGCATCCTTATTACCGATGACACAACAGAGACAAGGCAACAAAACAGCACAAACACAAATCGTACATTGCAGACCACTGCATACCTCATTTGAGTGACAAAGGCAAACCATGGCTCTGGTGATTGTGTGGGATACAGACCAATTAGTCCCTGAATCAAGACACTTCCCCTCATTCAATTTTCCATGGGGTTTGGTAGTGTGTACTAATTAAGACTCATAATAAACACAGCAAAAATTCAGTAAGAGATTCTCGAACAAAAAAAAAAAAAAGGTGCAACATGTTTTAAAAAAAATCTGAACAAACAAGTGCACGTTCCAGTTTTTCCATGACATCATGTACCACAAAATCTGCAGCCACAACTTAGCTACCGGCTGCTTGATCATGAGGGACCATACGTAAACAAGCTGACACATGCACTTAAAGCTTTTAATGACATTCCCTCTATACCAGAGTCCATGCTACCAAAAGTTTAGTGCAGGAATGCCTCTGGTGGGCAACTGAAGAAAAAATGAAATAAATGAAAGCATAAACTGTCTCTATCTTTGGGTATACCAGATACATTCCCCAATGTATGTTTAAAGTATCCCTAATGCCTATGTATGTTTAAAAATGCATTCAGGCTGCAAGTCAGAGTTTGTCTGCTCAGTCGCTTCAATACTTCAATACAAAAATCACTTCTTTACTCAAAAGTAGTCCAATAAGGGTACATTTTAGAGCTCAAATACAGGGAACATACTTTAGGAAACACTTGAGGCTATTTACATATCTGTGGCGGTAACTGTCAGTCTGAATGGTTTTAAAAAGTCAGGCCGTTTCTTTCATTAAATATAAGAATAAAATTTAATGAGACTCTCAATCATACATGGAAACAGAGCTCTTGTAGCACTAGCTTGCACTTGTACCTCAGTTGGTTTTATCAACTATGTTCACTCAGTAAAACAGGTTCTTTGAATTAATCGCAAAAGTCTAAAGCTCATTTTATCATTGACTTGTCTTTACCCACTCTACTCTCTAAGTCAGACAAGTCTGAATCACAGCCTCAAAGTCTTCTCATTTCTCTGTTTTGTGCCTCCTCTCTCCTCCATCCTCCTGCCTCCTGCCTGCGACCTGGAAGTCAATCTCAGTGTGCTATCTTGAAGGATGTCTCAATTTCTAAATACATCTCGAGGAGAGAGGAAGCTTTCTGGAGGAGCTATGAGCTAGGACGCGGAGATGTATACCTTGCATAAGTCTTTTTGGCACCCATGATGCATAAAGGAGGTGTGACACACAGCTGATGATGCAGCTGGCCACACGTCATATTTAATTGTCGCTTTAAAGTGACGGCTCCAAAGCGGTGATGTCTCATCTCTTTAATGCCTGATGCCTCATTCCTTGTGTCTTTTCCTTGCCCCCTCCGCTCATCTCTCCGGTGGGAGGGATTAAGATGTGAGGAAAGGAGGCAAGAAAAGGATGTACAAACTGAGAAATGAGAGGAGGGGGTAGTGAATAACCTGAAGTCAATTATATACATTTTACAATCACATTAATTTTCGGATTTCCTTAAAGGCTCTTGGGCTAAAAAGATGTACCTCACAATTTTTCCTGCCAAAATAAAGTGTACAACTGACAGCAGCAACAAACAACAAAGGGAAACAAATGATAAATACAACCCATGGGAAGGTTCAAAACCATAAAAACAAATTAACACTATCTCCATTTACACGCCAGGTACCAAATAATGGACTGAATCCAACGTCAATCTGTGTGGATACTATTAGGTCAGGACAACGAGAATGCAGCAGTTAAAGTCAATAAATAAACTCAATACCATGATCATGGGGTGACAGAAATGAGGGAAGGAGCATGGAGGGAGAGGCAGGATGGATGGAGGACAGAAAGAACTGAAGAGGGGAAGAGGAGGGTGGACGGGCAGGTGCCTCACTCCGGAGCCCCGTTTGCCATTTCTGTCATCCTCTCTTCATCGCCCTGTTTCTGATGCTGCAGTCTGGCATAAGTCACCGCATCTCCCCTGAGAAGGAAAGAAAAGGAAGACAGGAAGCGAGAGAGGGAGGGTAATAAAAAGTTATGACGAAGGAGAGGTGGGTAGAAACAAAGGCAAAGCGGGTAAGACAAGAAGGGATGACAATGTTAATTGTGAGGTTATTACACGGCTCACCTTGTCAGAAGTTAATTTGCATGAATAAAGACACTCATTAGGGTTGTTAGACGCATAAAATAAAAATCTTATTAACTGATTAGAATGTGGGATACTGCTTTTAATGGGAGTCTGTTTTAACGTAACCTTTTAGAGGAGTGTTTTTATGAGTGACACATAAAGAGATATGAGTAATTACAAAACGTCTGTATTGTACAGCTTTCATTCAAACAGATACTGATAATAAATTGTTACACAAAATAGCTGGCATTTTTCTGATGCTTCATAAGAGCTTATATTACGTTATTCCATGTGACTAGCTACAAAAAGACATCTTACTTTTTGCCTAAAGAGGCAAGGCCGTACAGAACTCCTGTAGCGAAGGCGATGGCATTTCCAAACAAGGTTGTAAAGGAGAAACTCAAGAATATGGGAAACAGAGCCATCCTGAAAATGAGACAAGAAGGGACAAAAACAAGTCAGTGAATCACATGAAAGCTACAGTTGTTTATAAAATGACTTTTGGTCATATTTGCTGAAGCCATCACTTTCTCTAACTTTCTCATTTTACAGCTAAACAGTACATTAAAATACGTTTCTGAAAACATTTAAGGCGAGAAACAGAATCTTGACTCATATCTGATCAGCGCTGCCGAGTTCTCAGCTCTGATTGGTTCTTTTTGTTCACGTGGGGTGGATTTTTGCAAATGCTATTAGAAGCATACGAAGAGGAGGAACCTGATTTTTTTCACAGAGCATCTGTCTCATGTAATACTGTGTAAACAAAGTGACAGTTTCAGCAAATAAGACAAAAAGTTATTGTTGTAAAAAGTTACCAACCACAGCTTGAAGTACACACTAGAGATAAAAGACCTACATTCCTAAAAGTTTATCCAACGGCTTATGCAATGATAATTAATAACATCATAAATTCACATTCCAAAACTGGTATTTTTCATACAGTGACGTACATCCTCCACTGACACAAACTGTATACAATGCATAGTTGTTCTCACCCACAGTAGAAGAAGGCTTTCTGCCAAGGTTTCAGTTTGTCTGCACGGGCTGCTACTGCATTGGCAAACTCTATGAACTGGCAACAGAATGGGACTTCACATAGGAACAGCACGAAGGCGTTCAACCTTGAGACAGGAGGGGAGGACACAAACACAGAATTATCTTTTCCATTTCAAATACTGCACAACTCACGTCTGGAGAAATTTGAACACTGTAGAAAAGACCCATTATGCTGTCATTGTCATTATTCAAGGTTTTCAAATTGGGCTGGAGCACAAGTGCTCACGTGTTTACTGTCATAGAAACAGCAAGAAGGTTTGGATGGTGAGCTGGTTAGTGGAGGTTGGACTGCAACTAAGTGTTATTTTAATAATCGATTAATCTGCCAACTATTTTCCTGATGAACTGTTTTTCTGAAGGAAAAGGAATGTCTTCAAATGTCAAGTTTTGTCCAACTAACAGTCTCAAACCCAAGCACATTTACTTTACTCTCACATAAAAGAAAAGCAGCAAATCCTCACAATGAAGAGGCTGGAACCATTGAATAGTTGCCAATTCTCCTAGAAAACTGACTTAAACAATACATCAACTGTCAAATTGTTGCTGATTAATTTTCTGTTCATTGATTAACTGTTTCATCAGTAAGTGATATAAAACTGGCATGATGTCAGTTTGGCTGACAGTGTGGCCACAGCTGCATCTGGTATTCGGTCTTTTTTCTTAATCTGTGGAGGTGTTGACAGTTGGTAGGGGACAGTGTTTGATTAAGGCATTTTAATCCCTATTGTTACACAAAATGTTATTTCTGGAGAAACTGAAAAGGCTCCAGGGCTGCAACTAATAATAATCTTTTTCTAATTATCAATCAACATGCAATTATTTTATTGATTGATTGATTGATTGATTGATTGATTAGATTGTCTAAAAAATGTCAGAAAATAGTGACAAAAGTTAATTTCTGTTGCCTTCCCCAAAGACCAAGATGAGTGTCCAAATGTCCTGTTTCCTCCAACACAACAGTCCAAAACCTTGAAATATTATAATTAGCATATGTGACACAGACCAGCAGCAAGTCCTTACATTTGAGGAACTTTAACAGTGCATTTGTTCTTGAAAAATCACTACTCAATCATCGATTGAGATGGTTTCTGGTTTCTTTGCTGTCAATCAACTCACTGTTTCATCAACTACTCATTTCAGCTCTAAAAGGCTCCTTTGATTCTGGTGTGATCTGGTGTAAAGAATACAAAAGGCTGACTGTCTTGATTTTACTTCTTATATATCAGTCTTTATTTCTAGCTAACATTAGTTTAAGTTTAAGTTTATTTACTTTATTAATCCCCTGAGGGGAAGTTCAATGTTTTCACTCTTGCTTGTCAATTACACACAGGTCTGAAAGACACACACATGCACAAACAGGACCTATACATGCACAAAGTGGAGAGATGTCAGAGTGAGGGGGCTGCCCTTTGGTCAGGCGCCCCGAGCGGTTGGGGGGTTCGGTGCCTTGCTCAAGGGCACCTCGGCAGTGCCCAGGAGGTGAACTGGCACCTCTCCAGCCACCAGTCCACGCTCCATATTTTTGGTCCGGACGGGGACTCTAACAGGCGACCCTCCGGTTCCCAACCCAAGTCCCTATGGACTGAGCTACTGCGCTCAGCTGTCAATGCAGCATCAAAGTCTGAGCAAATCACTGCAGTCTTTGAATTTATCCACACCTCTGTCATTTGAGCAGTAATTGTGGCGACATGGCTACATGAGACTACTGCTCACTATCAATGTAAGATAATACTGTATGTACAAACAGAGGAATGTAAATTAAAAGGTAATGTAAGTGGCTAATGCATGAGATACATATGACTGTAAATCTGCACAGCGAAGCTCTGATAGATCATTTATATTTACACTAGTTTATATGTGACTTAAAGTAGATGTTGAGTAAAATTTGACTACAACCAGCTCAAATCTGTATCTGTAACTGTGACAGTGACAGCTGCAGACACCAAACAGCAGTGGAAACATTAAACTAGATTAAATGATTATCAAGCTGTTTAAAAAAACACTTTCACTGTGCATTGTACAAGTGAAATGGACCAGAGTTTAAATAAACAATAAAATACAGCACTTTGCATAGTCTAAAGAAGTGGTTTTATAGCCTGTTTATTGTTTTTTGCTCCTGTATACCAACAGCATATAAAACTGCCTTGGCCTAAGAATGTGAACTGAGCTCATTTATGCATGCTACATTTAAGTGAGCATAACAAGTGTTTAAGACTTACACCATCCATACTCCAGCTGCAATGTTTAACGGGTTCACAGTGACGCAGTTCCACACTCCTGAGATGGCGCAGGCTGCATGGTTTGGACAAGAGAAAAGCAAAGGCAAAAGGGCTGTTACTGATATAAGACATATGACAGATTCTAATATTATCAAGCCTGACCATTAGCTATTGGCAATTTTAAATGTGAAATATCCCAGAGTAGATTGTTGGATTACCAATGTGGTTGTTAAAAGAGATCCAGCTCAGTCACTTCGCTTTTTAAAGGTACAATAGTTACACTCTAAGTTTGCATTTATGTGCTCCAGATTAGAACTGCCTGTGCACTATAAACAGCATAATAAAATCAGCAATGTGGAACGTATAGAGCATGTACAGTATGTGGATGAAAATGTGCCACGCATGAACACACAGAAATGTCCTTCAAGAGCAGCACATGACAACCTTTGGCTATATGCCCACAGCAATTTCAAAATGTCTTAAAAAAAAACAAAAAAAAAACAAAAACGCTTAAATAAAAAATAAAATGAACCTAGCTCTCATATCTAGATGTAACAGCTATTATAAAGCATATTTGGGCTGAAAATTAATAAGCCAGATCAAATTTGAAACCACTGTGTAAAAATCAAAGCAGGCTACATTTTTCATGCACAAGATTTATTTCATGATAATTTGAGCATTTTCAATTGGGGCCTTTTTTTAAAAAAAAAAAAAAAAAAAAATACATCTTTTTATTTTTGCCATGGCTATGATTTGTGTTCCGTCATTCTGTCTGAACCCCCGACACACAGGTCCAGTGGGACCTACTTAAATCCAATATCTGATTATCTACTTTCTACTGCAATATGAGATGAGCTTAACATACACAGCTTGAGGTGTGTTCAAAAGTCGTGCAAAAACTGTGAAATATTCATGTTAACATTCTACATGTAGGAATTAATGGAAGCCTCTGACATAATGTGTGATACAACATCACGCACTGTTCAAGGGTGTCAGCTAAAGCAATGCCCACAGCAGCGGTAAATCAACCTATGATGCCACTCAATGTATAAAAGTTGTATTCACACTGACATAAAGCAATTAACTGTACAACACGTGAGATTTATCTGCTGTAGTGCCTTTATGGCTTATTGTAAATATATGACAGACAAAAGACAATTATGTCAGCTTTGAGGGTACACTTTTTCCCTATCAATTAATCTGGCAATTATTTTCTCAATTAACTGTTTAGACAGTAAAATATCAGCAAATAGTGACCAACACAATTTCTCAGAGGCTTAGGTAAAATCTTTACATGGTCTGTTTTCTCCAACCAGAAGTCCAAACACTTTTGAAAAATTATTCACGTCATTATTGTTGAAGGAATCGTAGGTATCATGGAAACGTGCAAATATTCATGCCAATTGGAACCAGAATAGACTAGAGGCTGAAATTTGTGTGCATTTGGATCTTTTGTGCAAAAAAAAAAAAAAAAAAAAATCAAAATAGCAGATTAATTCAATGTCGATCCAAAAGCTGCATGTCTAGAACAAAGCAGTTATTGATGCTGTCTGTTACACCTGTGCTATTCCTGCTTGAACAAGCCAAAATGTGAGAAAGACCAATTAACACATGAGGTGAAGGCCTATTTCTTTCACAAGTGAGAAGAAAAGATGTCAAAAAGCACCATTAACATTTCTCTCTTTCATCTCACAATAAGTCACAAATACCTTTTAATTTACCAATGTGTATTATTTCTAATTAATAATTCTGTGGTATGTCTGAATGGCACACACTGTTTGATACTCAACCAAATGCAAAAACACTGTTTGTTAAACCTTCTGACTGCCAGTCAATACACCAAAACCAAGTATGATCTTTTGTATTTGAGACTGAAGACTGTACAGCAGTTTCAGACTGAAACTCCTCAGTGAGAAGTCAGGGTAAATATCTAATGTCTGTGTGAGCTCTCAGGCCAGACAGGCCCACACTGCCACAAACAGCGGAAAAGCTATGTAGCATATCCTGCTCCTTTAGACCATCCAGCCTCCTTAATAATACAAAGCCCATTGAATATGCAGTGCCCCAGGTGGTTAATGTGATACAGGCACTGGGACTCTGGTGTCACTGTGAAGGCGAGGAGGATAGAGAGAGGGAGAGACAGGAGGGCTGCAATGCTGCTGGAAAACTGCAAAGCCAGCAATAAATCCACTTCTTTCTCCCACTGAACTCCTGAGGCAAAGGGTGACTGTACCTCCTGTGGACTATGGGTGTTCATATGACACAATTTTAATCTAGGAATAACAGGCTGTTATGGAATGAGCAAGCTATGCAAATAGGCGGTGCAGTGCCTGCTGCAATGAGAGGACAATGGGCTGGGGCAAAGCTTTTGTCTGGCGTGGCTGAGCAGCTGAAGTGAGGTTTATACACAGTCAAAAACATGATTTTTAAAATAGTAATCTGATGCCATTTCTGTCCTGTATCACCTCTAATCCTCATATTAATGCGGGTAATGCAGAGGAGTACACACAAACTGTATGAAAGTGTGCTCACAAGATAATAAAGTCACTTCATTGATATAGAAAATTGCACAAAGTTATATGATTGTATACTGGCACACAGCACACTCAGTTGTTTTTACTGTACATGTAACTTAGGTAGCGGCTTATCATTGATTTACTCATCAAGTTACAAAAGAAAGACTTTAACAAATACTTACATATTCCTCCCAAGACTCCAGCTATTTTGCAGAGCCATCGGTACCACCATGTCATGCCGTCATCCTCCGGAGTGGCTTTAGTAGACGCTGCAGTCTCCGCCTCGGTGCTCATTGTGTTTTCCTTGCTGTATTAGCTAAAGCTACCCAAATCCAGTATTTACAGATGTCGAGCCTGATACGACCCAACAATAGCTATGTTAACTTAGCTAACGCTGGCCTCAACAAACTAACTGCTAACCTGCTTCTGTGCTTCTGACCACACAGCGGTCCCTGTCAGTGATATGTGATGTAATTTAAACTTTTAAGCAATTTATATCTTGTCTTTCCTTTGTCTGTTGTTGCTGGAGCCAGCTGGGCTGATGTTACCAACAGCTCCCCCCGTCTGTTAGCACCAGCTAACCGGCTAGCTGATGCTAAAGAGCACCGCCACCCAGCTGCTGCTGTGAGTGGATATCACCGCTGCATCCGTCCTAAACCCTCTGGTAACCTTGTAATTGAACAAAAAGTATTTCCTTTACAGTTTTTTACGACTCTACACTATCTAGTCGTGGGTTTGGTCCAAGTCGCAGCTCCGTTGTTCTCCTCCCTGGCTGCCCCAGCCGATGTCAGCGGTGCATTGTGGGAGGGATTTGAAGTGCGTCATGGTTTGTTTATATGTGTTCTTATCAGCAGATTTTGGGGTTGTAATAAATATATTTTACTACACACTTGTGGTTATCACAGGATACAGATGAAAAGCTTGGGAGCAGCAGTTTCTGAGATTTTAATATCTGAGTATGAATGGAAATGATAACGTGACAGGTGTTTGTGATTTACATTAAGTTTGAGTCACAGAGAAGTATGGCAGCATAATGCATTCACTTGAGAAAAAACCCTGTTTTTCTGAATTAATGAGAATATATCTAAGTATTATTTTAAATGTTTTCATAAGAAAAACAAACTGCTCTTGTTTCTTTTTATTAATGGCAGTCTGAGTTAATCAATCATGTTCAAAGTCTCCTTTTAGTACAGAACCCACTCTTTGTGTCTCCCTGGAAGAAAAATAACAAAAACGGGAACCGTGTTTCAAATAACTCTGGAATATATTTTTCTTGAAACCGCTGAACGGCCAGTATGAACAGGAGGTGTGACTACAGCTTGCAAAACATCCTGCAATTAACATAAACGTACCTGGCTGTTGTTTTAAAACAGACTTGAATAATTTTGAACCTATCCTTTAAACATGGAAACACAAACCTGACTTCACCAGCATCCCCACACAACAAAAGTAAGAAAAATAATCTTATTTTCATTATTAAATATCCCATATAACCTTTAATCACTCATCCACACTTACATATAACACTTTCTCCCCAAATCCCTCATTACACAGCTTTCTGTTAAAGTGTTTGTTGCACAAACATGAACTGTGACCTCAAATTTTAAATAGGGATGACAAAAAAGGGACAAAAGTCCACTCTGCAGAGGGGTGACTGTGTTCACGGAGAGGTAGATAAAAGTAATCGTGACAAAGTCTACTCTAGCCAGAGTTAGTGTTTTTTGTCGGTTTGCATACAGCCTCATCTTAGACCCTTAACGGCAGGCTTTGCACACGACTTCTCTCACTCTGACAGCAGAGTGGACTGCAGTGGCTTCAGAGTCCTTCGGCTGGTCCTCCTCCCCTCCATTATTGGCAATGGTTTCCTCTTCCCTGTGGGTGTGTAGCAGAGCATGCTATCGAGGGTCTGCTGGGTCACCTGATCGGCTTGCTCGAGATCACTCACTATCTGTTCCACTTTCATCATGTGCGGCCCGTCCTCGCTCCGCAAGAGCAGCAAATCCACCTGAAACACGTCACAAGAGGCCACTGAACTACCAAGCAATTTTTCAGGGATTTATACATCTCCGTAGCTTGTATTAACTTTTGTGAGAAGTACTCCTCACAGATATTCTCATCAACAATCCCAGTAAATCATACTTTGTTCAAAAGTGTAATTACTGCATCCTCAGCTATCCTGCCTCAGCTTTTAAGTATAAGTAGTATCTGTGTTACTGAGCAAACAGACAAATGTTTGCCTTACCACCTCCTGAGAAAATTCAGGCTTCCTCACAAAAGAAGGGCTTTTAGGTCCAGTGGCTGCAGACAGGAAGGAAATGGCATCTGTCACCGCTCCTGACATTATTAGCAATAAAACCTATATCACAGTAAAAAGAATATATTAATTGTTTAACAACAACAACAACAACAGCAAGAAGTAATACACACTACAGTCACATGATGAGCACTTACCTTTATATTTTGGCATAATCTGCTGTCAGAGCTCATAATTTGTGAATACAATGACTGTGCCTTTTCTACATCATTCTGGAACAAAAAAGGAAGATAAAACAGATTATTGATTACATATTATAATATTCTCTACATCTTTCTGCATGAATGAAAGAAATAGAAGAAGTTATAACTTACCAGTCGAAGTGCTAACGCTACAGCAAAGCAGTAAGCATGTCTGGGGATGAAGTGCCCTTTGGCCTGTTCCTCCTCTATCAGAGCAGTGCAGATCCTGTAGGACTCAGCTGTGTTCTGATGACAAAGACAGAATAATAACTGACTGCAAAGACTTTTTACATCCTAAAACAATTATAATCCTTGGGACTGTAATGTTGAAATAGACATTACTTTTTAAAGGTCCAGTGTGTAGGATTTATGAGGATATATTGGCAGAAATGGAAACAAATATGATAAGTATGTTTTATTTAGTGTATAATCACCTGAAATAAGAACTGTGTTTTTGTTAGAACAAGCCATTTACATCTACATAGGGAGCAGATCTTCATCTAGGAAGATTGCCATGTTGCACTGCCATGTTTCTACAGTGGCCCAGAATGGACAAACCAAACACTGAGTCTAGATAGGGACATGTGTGTTTTCGTGTTGACCACCATAATTAGCGGCCTCTTTGCGACGTAAGTGTCAGAATAACACTTTTTTTTTTTTTAAAGTTCAAGTGCTTTTTCCAGGTTAAATCACCAGATCAGCTTGTTTTAGAGAGAAGCACACCTCTAATAATTAGGCTCCTGCTAAAAACCTCTTGCACATCTGGATCTTCAGTCACAAAATGAAAAAGATGTGCACACATACATTAGCAGGGGCTGGGCTAATGGGATCAGAGAAACACTGATTTGAAAAATTAAACTGCTTTGATCAGTGGTAGAGGTTTTAATCCCATGATCTGTTTGTTTTGGAGTGACACCTCTGCAGATGATTTGGCTCCTGGTAAAAACCTCCTGAACAATGAACAGTGGGGGAATTCTAACCTGGAGAAGTCTCAGCTGGTTGCAATCTGCAATCCTTACCACTAGATGCCACTAAATCCCTCTAAATCTCACACACTGTTCCTTCAGAGATAAACCCATTAAAATGTTACCAGCTTATAGCAGGTGCCAGACGCCAGTGTCACTGTGTCTTTGTTGAATGGCACGCCTTGATTCCTCATGGTTCTTAGTACCTCCAGGGCATCTGCAATAGTCAAAGTTTGGAATGTTTGACACACGTGATAATAATTTCACAGGAGAAAAAACACTGGAAGGTTAACCTGTCACTTACGTTCATAAGAGCCTTTAGTGAATAACATGTCTATGGCGATGTTAAAGGAAGTTGCATCGTGGAAAAATCCCCTCATACTCTGATCAGACAAGGGAGAGAAAATGTTACCAGTCTGAAACAGCTCTTAGAAAAGTATCAATCCTGTTGTTTTTCTCCCTAATGGCACTTTTCCAATAATCGAGTTTTACCTTATCTGTAAGTGTAGAGGCAGCCAAGTCGTCCAGATCCAGTTCATAACACAGTCTCATGAAGAGAGGACCAAACTTGAAATCTCCATACAACAAGCTGCGGTTCTCTGCATGATACCTAGTGAGTGCAAATTAAAGGATCGTAACATAAATGAGATACTTGTTACATGATAATAGCCATATTGAAGACATGTGTTTTTGCTTTAAGAAGTGGGGAGAATCTAATTTCCTTCATTCCAATGTTTGTGAAACACATTGCAGATAAACAGCAGTGGATGAGTTGACATTTGTTGTGTTGAAAATGCAAACTTTGTGTGTAAAATAACACTAAATAAAGGATGTACTATACCTAGAAATGGCATCTCTGGCGATCACCATGTCATCTGCAGAGTGGCACAAGTGAAGGAGAAGCTTCAGCTCATCTCTCAGTATCAGTTCATTCCTCTGTAGCTTCTGACTGAATTCCGCGATATAATTTCCTGTAAAAATTCAATGTAAAAATATGAGTTCTTGCTGCACGTATCATAACACATAACAAAAACTGCAGCTTTAGAGCCAGCAACAAAAACTACTTCACCTTTCGTTCCAACGGCACGGTGAGCCACAGCCAGCTTCCTTTGTTGAAAGTCTCGTAGTTTGATGACATCCTCTGACAATAGATGTCTCTTAGCTGCAGAGAAGACAGTGGCCAATGACTATAAAAATGCAGTGGTGTTGTGTAGTAAAACTAGATTCCATTTCAAGGAAAAAAGTGCTCCCTTGAGAAGCCATCATATCATAATTTAGCAGAGGTGTGTGCTTGAGTTGCAAAACTTGTTCTTGAGTCAGATTTTAGTCACAATTCTGATATCTTTAGACTTGACTTAACAAAATCAAGAGAAGACATGCAACTCAACTTGGACTTTAACACCAATGACTCATGATTTCACTTGGACTTGAGAATTATTCAAAAACTGTGCCACTGATCAGTTGATTTCCCTTCATCTCTTGAATCTAGTGACATGCACGTTAATGTTTACATTTCATTGAGACGTAAAACAAAGCATGCCACAACATAATATGTCTTTTAAGGAAGAACAGTCTCACACATTCACGAGGAGAGAGTTATACATTTTTTTTAATATGAGATCTGATAGATGTAACAACACAAAAACATACATATTGTATTCTGACATATTGTCAGCCCTACTTGTTTTATAATTAAGTTCAATAGCACTTGTAAAGTTAATATATTATTACTCTGCATAGCATTGTATTTTGTGAGGAGTCTGACTTATTTAGGACTCGAAGGTCAAAGTTTAGGACTTGGGACTTGACTCGAGACTTGTCAGTCTTGATATGGGGCTTGAGTGCAAAGACTTGAGACTTATTTGTGACTTGCAAAGCAATTACTTGGTCCAGCCTCAGCTATTCAGGCCAGCTGGATAACTAATAGTTACAATGCCATATGCCTTATTTTATTTTTTATAAAGCCAACATACAAATGCAGCACATCCTGCAAGTAAAACCTTCGGGTAACCGAGTTTTGGTGGATTTTTATGAGCTGTTAAAGCCATTTACACTCAGTTACTGTAGTTAGTTGTGTACACATGTGGGTTATTGACAAGTTGCTAATGTAGCTTCTGTCTGTTAAACCAGACAGTTTCATCAGCCATTTGAGTATCAGACAGGAAACATATTGCCGGGGTTTCTTTGTCTTACCTCCTATGCAGCCTTCAATCCAGCCTGGCTGTAAAACACCACAAAACAGTCCTTTAGAGGGCTCAAGTACCAACGACCGACAACATCTACCTACCATGGCCAGCGCCATATTGCCCACTGACTGTACCATTGA